GTAATAATGGACCTCATGAGAATTAAGGTAAAATAATCATATACCCAGTGATACAAATGAAGATTGGTAGGTACAGGGTTATTCCACATATTTAAAGAGATTTTACTGAGTTCATCATCAGAGCTAGAAAAAAACTTCAACTACAAAAGTTAATATCGCTATATAACTTTTGTATTGGAAGTATTTTTCTATCTTCAATGATGAACCTTTTAGAAGTTGTTTAAATATACGGAATAACCCTGCACCTCTGTTGAGTTCGAAAAAAAGATCGACAAAGTTCACGACCTTGTTAGACATTTTTCTATGCCCGCTAATGAATTACGAATGATTTTAATTGAAATTCGGTCAATTTTTGGGAAGTGTCAGCAACAGATATGGCCCTGATTTTATCAGCATGTTCTTGTAAGCTAGCGGCATCCACGAAAAGAAGCAGATTTACGAGGAAAACCTGATGATGATGCAGAACAGCATTTAAACTGCTCAACACTTCAAGCATGAAACCCAAAAAAACGATTTTTATGGCCCCATATTCCCAGGTGCTCCGTATAAATTTCCCCACAAAAATAACGGAAACCGAGATTGGTCGTTCATCTCCTCATCCCCAGTTTTATTGTTGTGTTCCTCGACGATGATTAATCCTCATAAATGTAATTATCGTCTGTTCATTCATGCAGAGTGCAAACGTTATCCCTTCAAATTAATAACGGATATTAATTGAAACAGTCATAGAAACCGGTTGCCAGAGAAACCGTCGGCAATGATGTAATTTTATAACATGTCCGAAGCTGATAGACCGACACTTTACAGTAACGTACTGGTGTATAGGGTGTCCAAATTGCTTGTCTTTATCAGTTCTTTTCTATTTCCAGAACGAACACGATTTTTTTTACAGATGTATCTCATTCTATCTTAAAAAGTGCCTGTAGAAAGTTTTTTTTGTTTAGGAGAAACATTCGAAAATAAAAATGTTATGGCATATTTTCGAAGTCGGTCATAATTTTTTATTATGTTCTGATTCTCACGAAAAGGGATATCCTGTAATGTTCAAAGAACATCGTGAGAACCAAGGGAAATAAGGTTGGAATTGGTGTTCTCCTTAAATTTCTGGAGGTTAAATGCCTCGGGAAACACCTCCCTTGGCAAGTCGTTCCAGAGCCTCGCTCTTCGTTGGATGAACAGGTCTTTGGAAAGAGATGTTCTGCAGATCTCCAAAGTGACCACGAAGGGGTGCAAAGCCTCAACTCGACGGGGGAATCTCGCGGGGACTGCCAAGGAAAGAACAATTGTTGATATACAGAATACAACAGTTTCAGGGTATGTTTGGGTGCTGCACTCCAAATATGGGAACAGTATTCCAGGACAGGTCGGATCTGTGCCTTATAGATCATAAGCAGCTGACTGGAAGTGAGATAGCTCCTGGCCCGAAACAGAAAACCAAGTTTTTGGGATGTAAATTTTTGCCTATATCTCGAAAACGGTTAGAGATATCGAACTGAGGTTTTCAGCAATCGACGTTTCACAAAAATCGAGCTCTGGATCCATTGGTCAGTTTTTCTCTAGCTGTTCTGGAAAAAGGAAAAACTGCCAAAATCAAGCAATGTGGGACACCCTGCACACGAATATGTACAGGGAGGAGACTTGAACTGGAAACAATTCGCTACTGGGAAAATTCTCCAGACACGTCAAGGTTTGAATGTATTTTCTCACATTTGAGGAGCAATGAGGAGAATATAACTCTTGAGGGGTAGCTGGAATCAACTACAACACGTTTTTTTTATAATAAAACAATATGGCTTGCGACCCCTTATTAGAAAGCTGGTTGAAGGAGTAATACAGCGTTCTGATCATATTTCAGTTTGTAGTACGTTTGAGGGTTGCCTAAAATCAAAATATAATTTCAAAGTTTAATATATTTTCAACGTATTTTCATATGTAATACCACTATTGAAATATTCGGCGACTGTTACGACAGCTTATTGCCTTATAATTTCGCCGAATGACATCTTTTATCAAAACTTTCGAGTCGAATTCGAGAAGTTTGGTAACAATGTCATGAGCGAAATTAAAGCAGCAAGCTGGAGTATGTCAATCGACAAATATTTCCAATGACTTCTTTGATATGTTGGTACGTGATGTTTGATCAATCATCGTATTAGACTCAGTGATGACACGGATACGGTCTGCTGTCACCTGTTGCTTTCACTCTTGCTTCAGACTAACGGTGGTGGGCCAATATTCTGTAGCTAGAAGTATTTTTGTACATACATACCTATTAACTAGTACTAATACGATATTTTGTACAGTGAAGATGTATAATTTATCACTGTATTTAATGTCATCACAGCCAGCATTAGATTATGCTTCGAGTGATTGTATATCGTTGCTTATGAAAGCCCTTCGTTCCTTCATTCTTTTATCCATCACCTGATATTTATTTCGTTCATTCGTCTCCTCTTAATTCATCCTTTTATCCGTTTCCTTTTTCTTCATCGTCTCATCTGTCACCTTTTGCTTAATTTGTCATATGTCACCTATTGCCCCTTCTACTGTCACCTGTCATCTGTTATTCATTCCGTCATCTGTCCCTTGTAGCGTCATCCCTTACTCCTAACCCCTTTCGTCTCACAATCTCTGCTGGGGCAGACTCCTCACTCTTAGGGGCAATTTCACACTCTTAAAAACACAATTCGAACTTATACAGTCTCCTAAATGTGTGAATTATGTTTCCATAACAAGTGTAAATACTATCCTCGTAAGTCATTTATCACATATAGTATCCTTCCTAACATCTAACCCCTAACCCCTTTCGTGTCACACTAACGGTGGCGGGCATTGTTGTATTGTTCAGCTGGGTGGCGGCGCACGACGGTGTGAGGCGTCAGAGGCGGCGGCGGAGGCGGCAGAGGCTTCCCCGAGGGCCGGCCGATGAGACGGCCCGCCCCAGATTGGCAACCAGAAGGTCCACGACCGCGATTCGGGGAATCGTCGAGCGTCGCGACGCCACGCGGTCGTCTGCGGCGAGATAGCGTATTCTCGACGTCCGCTGGCTCCTTACGCACAGGTGAATATTGCAGGCTAGTAGGAGTTATTTCTCATTTCACACTCTTCGGGGTGAAATTCACACTCTTGGGGTGAAATTCACACTCTTGGGTGAAATTCACACTCTCGGAGTGAAATTCACACTCTCTGGGTGAAATTCACACTCTTGGGGTGAAATTCACTCTCTTGGGGTGAAATTCACACTCTCTGGGTGAAATTCACACTCTTTGAGGTGAATATTGCAGGCTAGTTAGATGTGTTTTGGGATACCCTGTGAAGATTTAGTGACGTTGAAAACGCTTTATGATTGTTTACTACTGAAGAGTAGAAACTTGCGCGGGGTCAAGAATAGTGTGTATATATGTTTCTCTGCTTCATACGCACACTTCGAGATAGAATGCACACTCTTCGATATGAAATTCACACTCTTGGGGTGAAATTCACACTCTTTGAGGTGAATATTGCAGGCTAGTTAGATGTGTTTTGGGATTCCCTGTGAAGATTTAGTAACGTTGAAAACGCTTTATGATTGTTTACTACTGAAGAGTAGAAACTTGCGCGGTGTCAAGAATAGTGTGTATATATGTTTCTCTGCTTCATACGCACACTTCGAGATAGAATGCACACTCTTCGATATGAAATGCACACTCCTCTGTGTGACGTTTGCACTCTTTGAAGCACACTTCTGGTGACCACCATACTGTAGGAGGCAAAATTCATACTCTCAGGGGTGATTTTAATTGCATTCTCGTGAATTTAAAATCAGTTCTCAGTATTGTGAAGTGAAGTAATGAAGTGGTGCTTATTATGAGACAGTCTGTGGATATAAATTGATTATGTTTTGCTGCTTCATACAATTTACAATCCCATTTCACACTCTGATGGTAAATTTCAACTTTTTGAAATACTATACGAACTTATTCAGTCTGTGTATATTCTATTTTTGTGAGTTCGAAACATGTTTTCATTATCATGGCATAAAGTTATGAAGTGGTGTATATTATATAACAGTCCGTTGATGTTGATATTGATTCATTCATGTTTTGCTGCTTCATATGATTCATATTCTCCAGGGTGTATTGCACACGTAAAATTATTCAAACATATCCATTTTTCCAAATGTGTGAATTCTGTTACCATCTGTGTAAATTCAATTCTCGCGAGTACAAAATCTATTTTGTGTGTGAAAAAGTGATGTTAATTATGAGAGAATCCGTGTGTAATCACCACCGGCCGTATTCATAATAATCTGAGTCCGAGGATATTAATTGATTTATTTATGTATTGCTGCATCATACAATTCGAAACTTTATTTCACACTCTTTGTGGCAAATTTCACACTGTTAGGTGCGAAATTCACACTCTTTGGAGCGCATGTATCACTCTTCGAAGCATAAAATTCTGTTACCATCTGTGTAAATTCAATTCTCGTGAGTTCAAAATCTGCTTCGTGAAATAAAGTTTTAAAATGATGTTACACTACAATTCGAAAACTGCATTTCACACTCTTTATGACAAATTTCACACTGTTAGGTGCGAAATTCACACTCTTTGGAGCGAATTTATCACTCTTCGAAGCATAACATTCTGTTACCATCTGTGTAAATTCAATTCCCGTGAGTTCAAAATCTGTTTCGTGAAATGAAGTTATGAAGTGATGTATATTATGAGAGAATCCGTGGCTAATATCCACCAGCCGTATCCATAATAATCCAGCGGTTATCGGACTTGGATAGCTGGAGGGACGCACCTGGGCTCGACGCTTCCCAAGGGCGTCCCGACGCCAGGCTAAGCGCCTGATTAATGGCGCCAAATCGCCCTCCACCATAATTAATATGCGCGAAGTTCAAAGGGCCTCATTCTGCACCGGTCACTATACAGTCTGAGTATGAAGGGATTTTATTCCTCTGAATTCATCTACGTTCATCTGTACAGGGTGTTTCAAAAATTTAGTTGAAGAAATGCCGATGCAAAATATTGGAGTCAGCTAGAGACACAAAAATAGAAGACACTGGCATCAGATATCCACCTTCTTCAGCAAATAACATCAAGATAACATGATTTTATTGATATTTTGTTGTTATTCGTTAACATCTTTATGTTACATGCTGTTTTTCATTAACACCAAAAATAGTAGCCAATAACTATAGCTAGAGGGTCCTGCTGACAATTTCGATTTAACCCAAATCTTCTAAATAAAATGCGTCTCCTGTCTGAGTAACAAAGTGTTTTATTTGGAATTTGAAAAACTATTCGTGCCTAATACTTTCAAAATCTGCCATACATACAATTTCGCCCAAGAGTCCATAAAAAATATTCATAGTCAAAAATCATTCTGCAGAAAACTGATATCTTACATTTTTCTGAGCTCTAGAACTCTTGAAGTACTCCTACAATAGATATCTTATCTTTTACTATTTGCCATAAATTTAGTTTATGTATTATTCTACTTATTGAATCAACTTCCTATATTATCTATCAAATGTTCATAACACACTCAGTAAATTATTGTCATCAAGTATAAGATAAGTTACCCACAGAACGGCTAACAACTGAAACCGTATCACGCATGCATGAATCTTTAAACGTTGTGATTGGTCAAAAAGCCAACCTATGCCTCATTTCGGGTGAATCTTTAAACGTTGTGATTGGTCAAAAAGCCAACCTATGCCTCATTTCGGGTCAAATTGAATTCGTGCGATTGAAGCAAACCCCCCCTAGAGTCCCTTGATGCAAACTGACGTATTTGTCATCTAACAAGGTACAGACAGATCATAGCTCCTTTCTCTTTTAATCATCTAGTGACTTTGGTTTCGTGTATTGGCGTCCCTGACATGACATTGCTGTCGCGTCACATTCATAGACGTTTTACAAAATGTTAATTTCATACTTTATCTTAATTCGCCATTATTCAATTCTGTTTTGGAAGGAAGGTAAAATGTGCTGCGTTAGGCTGTATCAATCAGTTGGATGGCAAATTTGAATTTGTCAGCTTTTCAGCAAATGCAAATCAACTCAGAACATGGCAACAGAACTAAAACCAGGCGATTGTTGTGATAAAATCCATATCTGAGTTTGCTGAGAACCTATTCTTCTCCATCTGGCGCCCCACGTTGGGCGCCAGATGAAGAAGACAGGTCTGACAGGTTTGACAAGCAACAGAACTAAAATTGAATAAAGTGCTAATATCATAAACATATTCGCATATTCAGATCTACTCTACTGTAATATTCATGATTTTATACAATAATAGTACATACCTAAAACCAGGCGATTGTTGGTACCGAATATAATTCAATCTCACAGTTGAAAACCCAAATGGCTTTCAATTCAACTTCTTGCTAACAAACTTTATATTTTTTTAGCAACATGAAAAGTGACTATACCGCATGTATATCAAACCCAATAGATGATACTGAATGGTTATTTTGTCACACACTCCACAAGTTTTTTATTGCATTTCAGTAGAAACAGTTTTGATTAGAACGGAAGATTACAAGAATGGGTAGGTATGTGCCCTACCATTTGAAAAATCATACCTCCATTCAAGAAATATTAAGTTTTCGTGAAAAGCTGCAAAAATGATTCCCAACATGAACATATACAGCACACATGACATATGAGCACATTAGTTTGAATACCTACATGAAATTTTTCACCATCTCTCCACCATACGGCTCAGTCTGAAATCAAAATTCATCTATTGATAGGTACTGCCTAAGATTACTCCCATTTGGTAAAACCTATTAAACTTTCAGAAAAATTTGCTCACAGATTATGCTGGAGTTGACAAATCAAAAACTCTAAAATCATCATCATCATTTGGATATAATATTGTTGAATGAGAAATTACATGTGGAAATTACGTATGATACGCCAATGTACTCAATATATAACCTAAAAAACAAGAAATGTCACAAATCCAGTGTTTATCCCCAGAAATAAATAAAGAAGAACACTTTAGAGTGAGAGGAGACGAGGATCTGTCCGTACCCTGTTAAGATGACTTTAACGTCAATTTCCATCAAGGGACTCTAGTAGATATATGTATGGATTGAAGCAACCCCCTCCTAATACAGTCTCAGGGGAGATAATCGAGGTGGAGGAAGAGCATGCCGTCGGCTCGGACTTCTTCGAGTTCGAGACCAGAGAGACGGTCAAGCTGACGGTGCAGCGTCGCGACGCCTACACGTCGACGCGCCGCTCCAGCGACGCCGCTAGGCATGAGACGGAGAAAGAAATACAGGATGACGACGAAGCCACACTCAGAGAGCTGCTTATTAGGTATCTGACGAGCGAGGATTCGTTTCGACCAGACATACGTATGAAGATTCCTAGAGATCCGAAAAGCGCCTGCGTGCTGGCGAGAATTTGTTCTTTCTTTCACTTCACAGAGATTGTTTCATCCTCGGTACATAAACAATGGAAAGAATGTTTTCCTTCCCTATATTATCTATTTATTAGTCCAAGTTAGGTTGGATCGCTGAGATATTCAAATTTACCGCCAATATCAGTGATTTGAATTCACATAGCCCAAGTTGCTCTGATTGGTCTAGAGGAATCGCCTATACGTATGTTTGGGAAAACGAGTTCGTGCTGCCGTCGTGACGTCATCAGAGACGGTTACTTTATCGATGGACGATGTGTATGGCGCATGTCGATGGTCGAGCAGTGTATTTCCCTTAGAAAAATATGAAAAGGGTTAGGGTAGATCTGTGAAACATCTTACATAAGGGGGCACTGGTTCCTCAAATGTTGAAGGTTCATCGAATGCTACTCCATATGCGTCATGGTTTTTGCGTGGGTTCATACGCTTTTTTCGTTTTTTTTTTGGGTCTTCTTCATCGCTTTTGTCATAAACGAAACGTATGGAATAGCGTGATTAAGCGTGATAATACATTTAACTCATGATAATACGTGATGATGCGTGATAATGCGTGATAATGCGTCATAATGCGTCATGATGCGTGTTAAAGCGTGATAATGCGTGATAATTCGTCATAATGCGTGATAAAGCGTAATAATGCGTGATAATGCGTGATAATGCGTGATAATGCGTGATGCAACGTGATGAATAGGTGTGGACAAAGTGGAAAATTGCAATAAAAAGCGTGAAACTCCGATGAAAATCTTTGTGTTAACGTGTAAAAGCGTGAAAGATCGTGAAAAAGCGTGTTTAAGTGCGAAATACGTATTGGTATCACACCACGATAAACCGTAAAAAACATAGCAAAGATGTAGAAGCGTGAAAAATCGTGATTAAGTGCGATATACGTGGAAAAGGTGTGAATAGGAGTGAAAAACGCATCGTGAACACGCGTGATACTGCGTGAAAGAGCGTTATGAAGCGTGAAAACCGTGAACGAGCTTCTCAAATCATGAATAAGCTTGAATAAGCGTGAACAAGTATCATAAATCACGATGAAGCGTAAAACAACGTGAAAAGGCGTAAACATTGGGATTATGTCAGAGAAGCGTAGAGTAGTGTGAAAGTTATGAAAAAACGTTTTGAAGCATTGAAAAAAATGCGATCAACTATAAGAAATAGATTATAGTGTAACTTGAATAACCATAAAACATGACGCATTTGAAGCCCAACTCGATAGTCCCTGAGCTCAAGAACATCTCGTTCAATGGTCTGGTGGCCCTGTAGGTTTTAATACTACTGATGTCAAAGTTTATAAACCATCCAAATTTAGTTCGTCAAAATTTATTAAAAAAATGATATCTTCATTGGAATAACTCATGCAAAACTTAATTGCCCTGAATCACTTTGACGCCCTGTATATATATATATAACTTATGTAAATGTATCTAAACAATGATGACGATCCATGCGCCATACATAAGTTCAATAGATAATAGAGCAGGAGCTGAGATTTTTGAGAGCTTTTTGCTGGCATTGATCAAAGAAAGTGTTTCTGCATTATTCAATCTTTCTTACTGCCTGATTGTACACAGAAAAAAATATCATCTAGTGAAGTTTGATATCAATTTCGTCTCAAAGAAAAAGTGATGTATTGAAGAAATCAATGTATGCATAAAATGCAGCAGTATGGTATAGCTAATCAATACAGTAAGAAAAAATTTGTTGACTCATCAACTATGGAATAGAGTTTTGTGACTCTGCCAGCAATAAGCCTGTGCCTCCATTTCTCTGCGAATTTATTAGGCTATAAGTTATTTTTCCTCAACAGAAAAGATTCACTTGAGATCATGATACAGGTGTTTTCAAATCCCAAGAACAATTTTCAATTTTTCTTAATATATATTTTTCTAGACATTCTCAGAGACTGAATACAAAACAGGATGTATTTTATTCGAAAAAATTATTCTGATTCATATTATTATCCCCTATATACAGGGTGTTACAAATTCGTGGCTAAGCATGGGGATCTCGGTAACCTTAAGAGATACAGGGTGGATTAAATCAGGGCAAAGTTGCATCATCTCGTGCACAACAAAATGCTACTTTGAGATATCCGAAAAAACAAGGAAAATATACAAAATCGTGTTTATTCTTCACTCCTCTACAAAACGGAATTGTCAAATTGGAAATCCGAAGTTTCTTCTTCGAGCGGCCATCACCAACTTTATTTTTTCGAATACGGATCTGGATTTTTTATTTCATTTTCAGATAGTTTTCGATCTCCTTGATATGATGGTGTATCAAAACATTACTTAAAATGTCTACTTCAATGAACAAAATGTTTATAGATATGGAGATACTCATCTTTGTTGAACACAGCGTTTCTGGTATTTATTTGTCTTTGTCCAACACATCATTCTAAATGCATTATCAGTTATATGAAACCAAAAATGATAACCAAGCAATTGTTTATTATTCAATGAAGTAATATTTATGAATCATGAAAATACAATTTAATCAATATGCAAAAAATATCGAACTTTCCTAGTAAATGCTGGAAACTATTTCTGTTCACGTTTTAGCATTCATTTGCTTTCATTTTTCAGCATTTACTATGAAAGAAAACTTGATGTTCGAAATTTTGCTCTAATTTAGCTTACTCTGTATCTCTTGAGGTTACCGAGATCCCCATACTTAGCCACGAATTTGTAACACCCTGTATACTAGAATCTTTCCTACCGAGATGATAATTGAAATAACTCTAACTCCGGGCAAATCGTTAATTATTCCAGGGCAATGAATTCCAAGCGGAGACAGAATCAATTGAATCTTTTCTGCGATATCAAATCTGGCTTTGAATTTCTCGGTTCATTTGTTTACATCTTCCGTTCTTTCATCTATCGATAACTTTTAATTTATACAATGAAACACTCGGAGTATCGCCAACTGTAATTCAATCATTGGATGCTGAACTACGACGAAAATTGCTAAGAAAAATAATGTCGGGAATGTTTTAGATTACACTTATAGTTGGAAAATTGCAATTTGAATATCGAGATGAAATCACAGTTGGTATATTCAGCACAGATAACGAAACGTATTTTATATTATTTCTGTTTTGTTAATTACTCCAATAAATTTTTTTCAATTTTCATTTTTTTTATTATTTTATCCTCACTATATAGGCTAGAAATCATTTCATGATGTCATCCATTGTTTGTTTGTTGTTTTTTGACCGACACTTTCTATTGCGTGGTATGGTCAAAAAATATATTTCAACATACTGACCACAAATCGCGTGAAATCTGTTTGGACCAGACAAATGCCGAATGAAAAATAAATGGCGATATGTTGTGGAAAAATCGTGGTTTCAAGCTCTATCACAATCATCATTATTTTTATCCATCAGACATGTGACATTACAGGATATAGGAAAAGGTCGAATTCACCAATTTCTAATTCGTCCATTTTGATGAACTTTGATCAAGAAACAATCTACTATTTGGGTCAGGACAAGATGGAATCGAAAAATCTCATTGCGCAATGGTAAACTCTATGGAGATATCCTTCAAGACAATCACAACATTGAAAAATTCATCTAAGTATTCTCTCAGAGAAGTAGATCCAGGAATAATCGATGGTTTCTGGGAAAATAAGATGATTTGCCATGGAAAAATCGGCATAGCCTCAAGATCCATAAATAATCCCAACTTGGTGTTAAGATATTGAGGCTTCAGACAAGTCTCAAAGTGCCAGAGGAGAACTCATACACGTTCTTAAAACAACCTTCTTGTGCCAGAAAAATATGTTTCTAGAAACCATTTCAAACAACCACTAGATATAATAAATAATCCTTACTGGGGTGAGGACATTGCGATTCAGAGAACCCTTTAGGTGCGAGAGAACCTAGACCTTGGAAAATAAAAGTCGTTCCAGTTTCCAGTGTGTTAGAGGAACATCTATCAACAAGCCTAGATAAATATGTTGATACCAATAGCAAGGTCCCGGTGCTAGAGGTCATGTAACATGTAAAACTTTGCTTCAGTGCCAATCAGAGGATTCCATCATGATGAAATCAAAGAAGTTTCAGTATTTTCATGACATCTTGGATCATCTGAGTTACCAACATGCTGTCAGTACTTGAGGAAATAAAAGATATCCTGATGGTCCAGGAAAATCTCTATCCATATAATAATATAATCTTATGCTATCAAAATTTGCTAAGATCATTAGTCCTCAGCTCGTGCCTGATCATGATGAAATTCAGGAAGGTTGCCTCGATCAGAAAACGCTGTGAAAGAGAATTCAAAATTTCATGTTGGGATCATAGAAATCTATGTATAATAATCCTAGATCCCAGCTGGATAGGTAAATCTACTTGTAGGCAGTTGTAGAATATAGAATCTCATGACTCCGGAATAATCAACTATATCAACATTGGTAAGCCTCTGTTTCACGGGCGACCTTAAAGAACGCCTTTTTACTGAACAGATGATGGCAGGATTTGTGAAGTTGCTCAAAGCACCAACATCCAATAATAATCCTGGTTGGTGCCAGCATATGATGAAGTTAGAGAAGTTCCAGTATTGTGAATATCTTAGATCCCCTGAATTACCCACATGCTTTGAGGAAACGAAAGACGGTTCAGTATACCAGATGAAACCCTATTTAGAGACAACCACGAGTTGCTGAAAGTATGAAGATGCTGAAATGATCCTAGCTGAAGCCAATTCATGAAGATTTTGGACCAAAAGATGACTTGGAGAAGTTTCAGTGTCTTGAATATCTTAGATCCTCTGAATTACTCATATGACTTGAGAAACTGGAAGACGTTCCACTGAGCCTATTCAGATACCCTCTTAGACAACCATTATTAATATCTGGAAATGATCCTAACTTATAACAAAACATGAAGAAAGTGGACCATAAGATTTTCAGGTCCCCTGAACTACCATCTGGTAGCAGGACTTGGCGAACAAAGTTTCAGTGTCTCAGATGTTCCTTCCATGAGCCAATTGCAAGGACACGGAAACAGTACACTCATCCATATGCTGCTTGGAAGATCTGGCAATGAGCCACGCTGATTTCAAAACATGAAGACAGTGGATCGAAGGATATCAATACCTCTTAGCTCCCCCTAACTACTAATTGTTGCTAGGACTTAGAAGCAGGGCACTTATTTATATACCGTTTGGATGATCTGGAAATGATCCTTGCTGATGCTAAAATATGAAGATAGTGAACCAGAAGATTCTAATACCTCTAAGCTCTCCTGAACTATACCAATTGATGCCAGGACACTCATCCATATGGGCTGAACACAGTGGACCAGTAGATTCCAATACTTCTCAACTCTCCTGAATCACCAACTGGTTCCAGGACTTGAACAAAATTGAAGTCTCAGTGTCACTGCTGCCAACTCTAAATAAACGGTGAAATGAAGGTAGAACATTTATCCATATGAACAAAAGACAGTGGACCAGAAGGTTCCAATACCTCTCTCGCCCCTAAACTGTCAATTGGTGCCAGGACTTGACAAAATTGAAGTCTCAGTTCCTCAGATGTTACAAACATGAACCAACTGAAAGGTTACAATGAGATGGAAGCAGGAAACTTATCAATATGCTGCTTGGAAGATCTGGAGATGATCCTTGCTGCCAAAATATGGAGATAGTGGACCAGAATATTCTCATATCTCTAAGCTCCCCTGAACCACCGATTGGTGCCAGGACTTGACAAAATTGAAGTCTGAAGTCTTTGTCTCAGATTTTATCTAGATAAGCCAATTGAAGGTACACGGTGAAATGAAAGTAAAACACTCATCCATATGAGCTGAAGGCAATAGACCAGGAAATTTCAATACATCTTAGCTTCTTCGAACTACCAATTGGTGATTCCAGGACAAAATTGAAATCTCAGTGTGTCTCAGATGTTACCCACATAAGCCAACTAAACGGTGAAATGAAAGTAGAATAGTCATCCATATGAACTGAAGACAGTGGACCAGAAGATTCCAATACATCTCAGCTTCCCTGAACTACCAATTGGTACCAGGACTTGAACAAAATTGATGTTTCCTTCATGAGCCAACTGTGAGTACACGAGGAAATGAAAGAACTGACAGCAAAACACTCATCGAGATGCTGGGTACGAACCCGCGATTCTTCCACCTACTCATAGCCCGTCGTTTCTCCTGAACTGCGCCGCCATTTGTGGTCGGCCATGTTGCTTTAGTGCACCTTGACGACGACTCGAGAGCACGCTAAACCTGACTGGGCTGTGTTTCCAAACTATAGGTGGAAGACTGGCAGCCGGCGAGGTGGATACATTGGCTGCCTAAGAGCGGTGCTAGTCGAACGAAGGTGCGCAGGATACCTGGGAAGGCGTCCACTGTAGTTGGGAACACAGCCATGGTATCCTTGCCTCCCAGGTACTTGTGTAGGCGTCTTCGTGGTCCGAGATGGTGTGGCTTGGGCTTGGCCTAATCAAATGGTTGCATGGGGTGCCGAAACAAATTAGGCTGTGTCGAGTCTCTGGGGTGACCTGGCAGCCTATTGGCAATCTCCTATGATACGACGCTATCCTAGAAAAATGTTTGCCAGGAATTGCTCGACATTCTCTCCTGCATTAGAGGTCCAAGTACTGAATATTGATGCATCTGGATGTGGTTGATTTTGTCACGAGTTAGAGGGACAATATCTCCTGCATCGTGTTCAATAACATCAGTGATAATTTCACTCAAGATATCTAACGAAGTATAAACAATATGTCGATGAATATCGAGAAAAAATAATCAGTCGGAACTAAAAAAATAGAAATCATTGAAGGACTGTCTGATCCCCTGCACATACATGACTATTTTGAGATTGAATTGTTCTAATTTCAGAAATTGCACTCAATAGCCAATTAACAACTGCTTCACAAGTGCAGTCATATTATCATCTTTGCCTAATGCTATTCAGGAAAAAACATTAGCCGTCCAGACCTGGACTGACATCTCGGGCGAAATGGGTTTAGATTCTAAGAAAAATGAATTCAAATAAAAAGAAAAAGTACTTATTGGCCATGCCAATCTGAATAAAAACACACCTAATGCAAAATCTGACTAACTGTTTTCATGTACTACAATAAAATAATGAATTAACGAAACAGGAAACAAATTTGATTTTTATAGAAGGTGTTATCTCTCATTACGAGAAATTTATTGTAACGAAATCTTCTGAATTCAAACGCTCCAATATTCTGTATTTGGGCCCTATGCAGGAGAAAATTTCGAGCATTTGGCACATCGTGGAATATTGTTTTCCGTGATTCGGCATATACAATGCTTTCCTTTAAGACCCCCCCCCCATTTTTATTTTTTGAACGGGTCAACCTAAGGTATTGAAACTTGGGGTCATGAAATGGTTGCATAAATACTATATTTTGGAGTCAAATTGACAGATGAAACTTCCAAGATGGCTGGGCGCCATCTGAAAAAAAAAATTTGATGGAAAGGCGGGTCTTGTGATACGTCTTCTTGAAGCTTCTGATTCATACTTCACAATACTAGAATATAAATTCAATAGACCTACTACTGAATGGCAGAACATTTGATAGTTGCCTAAATACAAACACATCGATATGGATATTGTATTCCAACAAGATGGAGCACCACCACATTACTCCAGACAAGATAGAAACATTTGGATAATACTTCCCCTGGTCGTTGGATAGGCCGTGGAGGTCCTACGGAATGGCCAGGCCACTTGCCAGATCTGACACCTTTAGACCTTTTTCCTTTTTTATTGGATACACGACAGAGAATGATGAATATTTGTAGAAATATCGACGTAACTATGTTCAAGGCAACCATTTCGAGCATCTTCTGAACAGAATCCAGTTTATTTTCTCAAATTATGTAGTAAACGTCGATATATTCAGGCAATTGATACATATTTCGCCATTTTGTAGTAGGTCAAGATATTGACTTTATATTCTAGGGTCTGGAGTTGTGAAGTATTTGTCAGGAGTTTCAAGAAGAAGTATCACAAGACCCCCTTCTATTTATTTCTCACCCCAGATGGCGTCTAGTCGCCATCTTGAGATTATAATCTGTCAATTTCTCCCCAAGTATGCATGTATTAATTTCATTATCCCAATTTTCAATTTATTTCGTTGGCCCGTTCAAAGAATAAAGGAAGGGGGGGACATTGAAGAAAAGCAGTGTACATCCATATTTTTCTATGGATGCGTCGTGGCATAGGAGAAAATGCGACAACGCTACCAGGCAGAATGAAGTCTGACCTTGTCTGGTCACGTTTCAAACCTGCCTATGAAGTTACCACGTCAACTTCTCATGGGAGTCATGTCAGCCATTGACTGTTGACGACTTGACACAGCCTAAAGCTTAGTTCCTGCTAGGCGATTTTGTCTTTCGCGATGCTAGCGATGACTATCTTATTATTGGTTGATTCGAATTGGTTAGCAGCCATTGACCAATGATAACATTACGTTTCATCGCTATCATCGCCAAAGCCAAAATCGCCCAGCAAGAAACATAGCTTGATTGATACTGACAGTTTTTCTCTTCTCTTTCTCATCGTGTGGTACTCTCCGAGGTAGTCTCGAAGGTTGCAGGGCTTTTATTAAAATTTTCATTAGATACTATGATCAAAATTTGTGCTTCCATAGGTCGCGTGATATAAGAATGAGGGTGATTTTTCCTTAATTTTGCGGTGAAAAGTTCCCATCAACGTCCTGAAATGCAACTTCTCCAAGGTGGTTTTCTCAAATATCCCAACATACAAACATGTTATTCAGATGATTGAGAAATTAGAATCTTAACAAAAATGTTTCTACTTGAACAGATGCAAACACTAATTCTTCCATTCACCTGGATTGAAAAAATATGAAAGAAAAAATGGACATATAAGCCGGTAATTTCGTCTCTGGTTAAATCAAATAGAAGTTAGAAACTAGAATAGTATACCACTCTATTTTCCTACAAGCACTTGTAGAAAAAAGTATGTTTGTTTTGTGCCTTTGATACCTAGTTTCTCAGACTAGCTGCATTTTTGGACAGACGTTGATAGTAATCTTCGACCACATAATGAAGTAAGGTATTTGAAAACGGTCTGACTCACCTCGTATATTTTGATTTTTTTCGAATAATTTGATTTCAGATACCTGTAAAAATTCTTGACATATTGGATTTCGAGAATGATTACCATGAATGAAATGTCCTTGAACATCAGTTGGAGCTTGAAAAATAATTCGAAAAATGTTCAAGTCCAGTATGTCGAAAATTGCAACACCTTATACTATAAACCTAGATATACCTATCATATGATCATAGCATGCATGGAAATCGAAAGTGTATTTTGCAAATTTGTGCTAACGTTGACTAGGTACCTAATTGATGTTCTTTTTTTATAAAAAAAAATCCTAAACGGTGTTGTTTAAAAAAAAGGTTCCTAAATCTTCTAAATATTTAATCTGATATTCATAGCATTCTTATATCACGTCACTTGTGGATGCAATTATGTTTCTACTAATATTCAAAGTGAACTCTTTTTTATTATTGAGATGTGTTCAAGAAGTATTTTTCTGCGTTTAGTCGATAAACTAGTATCTATTACTTATTTATCAGTAATCTTAGCTCCAGTAAATAAATTATTTGGTCCAAAGTGAATTTGGGATCATGATAGGGTTTGGATAGGGTTAGGTTAGGTTGTTTTGGTTATCATGACTGCAAAGGAGGCTATCGCAAAAATGTCTCAATTTAGCACGGTATAATTATTATGGATAGCTTAGATGTTTCGCTTTATTTGTGTGAAACTAGTATTGGCTCAAATGTAGAGAGTTTGATCCATCTTCTTCTATCCATTGTCGAGAGTAAAGATGATCGACGTTGAATATAGTAATGTCTACACTTGCAAACAGTTTTATTTCACTTGGTGTGTCATGAATCACTTCTTGCACTAACTGCAATAACAATTAGATATGTCTAGCTACACAAGACAATTCGAACACTCATTATAATTATTACCTTGATTCCCATTCAGAAAATTACCTTCGAGTACCACAAGATGAGAAGGCCATACATTTTCATATCAATGAAGTTGAGAGGAAAATTGTCAAAATTATGTAGAGTATCCATGAAAGGTTGTCTTAGTTTTATCACGTGATACTCAAGATAGCAAAGAAAACGAAGCGATATTTTGTGATGAAAATAGTGAGTAGGTACCTAACTCGAGTTCAGAGTCTAAGATTCATCAAGAGATGTGGACTCGGTGATTTTTGTTTAAATTGCTATTGAGAAGAACTAAGAAGAACTTGACCGAGTTAAAGACAACGTTTCTTGGGTCACCGTCATAAATAATATCTTCAAGATATGCACACCTTCCACCCATTTTGGTTACTCCACTGGGCTTTGCTTGCTTCTGCATGTTTCCGTTCGTCTTTAGTTTCGTCTGTTTTTTGGTTCTTCATCCATTGTTGTCCATCCTTAGAGAATGCGTAGAATTGGTTTAGATATAAGTAGGTAAATGTCTTCTCCTTTAAGCCTCATCCCCTGCCCTGAACTCCCAAGCCTTTATACAGTATATACAGTGCGTCCACTCATCAGTGCACTTTGATTGTTTCCTGTAGCTACAGTTTTTTCGAGATTATTGATACTTCTGAGGCTACTAACATATTTTTAGTCTATGTACCAATCTTTCCCATAGTAAATATTGTTCAATGAGGAAGCGAGAAAAAGTGAGACGCATGCGCAAATTTGTTGGTTTTTCTCGCTTTTCTAAAGTTTGAAGTGGGCTCGTGTTCCGGTTGGTATACTACTATTTCCCTTGTTCCATCCCTGTCACAATATTAGTATAAACCGTGTTCAAGATGAGGATGTCTATCATGGGGATCTCAGATGATATACGAAGATGGTTTACTTGGAGATGCTTGGAGAAAAGATTTTTCGTTTTGGGAAAATCGACTTTGATAATTTTCACCTCTTAATGATGATGAATTTGTCTCTGGTGAACCTCATTCACTGCGAAAAGTATATTTGGCTCAAATTATATTATTATGTCATAAGCTTACATGGGAAATTGTCAGTTATAATATTTTCGAATATTTTTTTTCCAATTTTTCAAGAAAAAGTTTCTACATGTTACAGTTTTGATTCATCATATTCGACAATTTTCAGAGATATCACGCCTGAAAAGCAGCAATTTTCTAGAATGTATTATAGGTTTTTTTTTCATTTGTAGACCCCATTATATTCATGAGTGTATTTATTGAAGATGTGCTTCCTATCAATTCAGCAAAATCCAAATCGTACCCTTCGATGCTGAACATTCCTCTTTTGGCAGTTTCTCTATTTTCTTAAGTTCCTGAATAGAAACAAACGAGTATTTGCAAAAAACAAATTTTGAGATGAATAGCAATAAGTTTCATTGAAAATTCGCATAATTGAAATGCCATAGTTTGGGAAGAGAAGTGACTATAGGCACGAATAAGGTATAGGTCAATTTTCTGAAAGAAGGAAATGCCTATAATGCATGGAACTCAAATTTAAATCTACTCTTGGGAATTTTTTCAAATACACATTTTTCCAAATGTTTAAACCGAAGGAATTATAATATATTTTCCAAAATTGGAATTTAAACATAAGGTGGAGCTTGATATTAAAAGCAAAGAGGAATATTTAAATTTTATATACTCGTAAGTTTCATTTTTGAGGGCTATCTTCTTGTTGCTATTATTTCAATCTTCCTGCAAAAGCTCGTATTACCTACTCCATTTCATTAAGTGCAATGCATGCAATAATGTGACAAATCGAAATATTCCATATTGTTAACGTAACAACTCAAAAATGTGTTGCGTTTAATTCATTATTTCATTTAATGAGATTTTGAAAATATGAATTGTAGGGTTTTTGGGGATGCTGATTCTGAATCTGATAAAAACAGTTATTTAAAATAAGCCCTAATATCCTTTTTCCGAATAATGGCCTTTTTTGTAACCCTCAACAGTGCACGCCAATGGTGAATGAAACTGTTCACTCTGCTAAATACTTCATTGTTTTAACATACAATCACCACTAAAATTTCAAGAGAATAGCATCATTAATAACTGAGATATCAGGGTGTATTCATGAAAAGCGGGACACACTGTATATATGTCGTGGTTTCCGAGATCCCCATGATAGACATCCTTATCTTGGACACGGTGTATAGTAAAGGTTGATGCCTGATTTTCGAGCATTCTCAGCACCAAATTGACTTTTGTAATACAATTATGACTGGCATGGCACAAAATTTCGAACTTCAAGAAAATATCAACCATTAATTAATGTTGTACGTGGATGAGATCAATACAAAATGGTTCTATTTTGAGGTTGAGAAAAACAAATTTTTCGTTAATAACTCATGAGCACTTGCTGAACAGTGTTCATGAACGAGTTTCAAACTAAACTTTATCTACGACTCCAAATTGAATGTTCAATCTCGATCATCTTGGTATCTGTGGAATTTGCGTTAAATATTGAACATTCAGCATTTCCTATCTTCCCAATTAGACTCCGCTGTAGTAATTTGTGGATATAAAGTAGCGGTATATAGCGAGGAGTCTTGTGCTTTTTGTGCAATTTAATTCCATTCCTGGATGAAACTCTGGGGAGATATACGTAGAAGATGCTCCGTGTACATTTTGAAAGGTTTACGAGTAGCTACATTTATCCTGTTCGGATTCATCCTCATCAATTTATTTCTGAGCCTTCAGCTGGATTGAATTAGGATTCGTGCATTTCCCTATGAGCTTAACAGAATTTATTTTTAATAAAACTTTGATGATATGCATTCACTGGCAAAAAAAATTCATTAAATTGATTGCCCTGTAACTTCATTAATTCTCGTCCGATTCTGATGAAATGTTGACCAAATCGTAGATTTGTGTTTTTCGAAATGCCTAAATTCAAGTCCCCGATGGCTTGATCATATTATACATTGAAATCAAGTAACTCTTTCATCCTCGTCCTCTCTTCTGTCACAGGAAATAATAGTGTATAATACACGGCAAAAAATAAATTAGATTTTAGCTCACAACCTGGAGCTAAAATCTACTACTTTTTTCCCTTGTATAATAAATAACTATTCGAACATAAAAAAAGTTCACCTGCGTGCATTTCTTGTTCGTTTCTTAATTAAACATAGATCATTTCCCTGCTGGAAGTGAAATTTCAGCCCCCCCCTCCACTTGATTTTTTTTCTGGCGACGCCCATGATAGGTTTCAACAGGAAATAATCCTCATAGTAGTCAAATATTGATCCAAAGATAACCGAGAATCGAAACAACATAGCCCATATCAGTCATCCCTCCCCTCCTCCTCGCATAACCCCCACCCTATGCCAATCGTCCCCTCACCCCGCATGCCACCCTCTCTCTCTATCTCTCTCTCTCTGGCGCTCGCCCCACTAATCCGACGTTTCGTCTCCGTCCCCTCGACCGTCCTCAGCCTGCAAAAGCAGGTCAGCGTGATGAGCATGAACCTGACCGCGAAGCTGGACGAGCTGCAGCGCGGCGACAGGCACCTGGAGACCACCGTAGCTCTGTGCGAGATCAGGTCACAGCTGCAGGAGCTCACCAAGTCCGTCGAATCGTGCCAATCGGAGGTGTCGGAGGTGAAGAGGGACATGGTGGCCATCAAGCACGAGCTGGACACCGTGCAACAGGTGAAGGAGGAGATTGAGGAGCTGCGGGAGTACGTGGATAGGCTGGAGGAGCACACGCATAGGAGAAAACTGCGGCTGCTCGAACAGGTTGGTAGATGTGCACCTGTTGCTCGTGGAACAGGTTGGTAGGTATACCTGTTGCTCGTGAAACAGGTTGGTAGGTATACCTGTTGCTCGACCAGGTCGGGAGATGCACCTGTTGCTCGTGCAACAGGTCGGTAGATACACCTGTCGCTCGACCAGGTTGGTAGATGCACCTGTTGCTCGTGGAACAGGTTGGTAGGTTCACCTGTTGCTCGAACAGGTTAGTAAATGCACCTGTTGCTCGTGGAACAGGTCGTTAGGTGCACCTGTTGCTCAACTAGGTTGGTAAATGCATCTGTTGCTCGTGGAACAGGTCGGTAGGTACAACAGTTGCTCAACCAGGTTGGTAAATGCACCTGTTGCTCGTGGAACAGGTCGGTAGGTACACCTGTTGCTAAACCAGGTTGGTAAATGCACATGTTGCTCGTGGAACAGGTCGATAGGTACACTTGTTGCTCGAATATATTGGTAAATGCACCTGTTGCTCGTGGAACAGATCGTTAGGTGCACCTGTTGCTTAACCAGGTTGGTAAATGCATCTGTTGCTCGTGGAACAGGTCGGTAGGTACACCTGTTGCTAAACCAAGTTGGTAAATGCACCTGTTGCTCGTGGAACAGGTCGGTAGGTACACCTGTTGCTAAACCAGGTTGGTAAATGCACCTGTTGCTCGTGGAACAGGTCGGTAGGTACACTTGTTGCTCGAATATATTGGTAAATGCACCTGTTGCTCGTGGAACAGGTCGGTAGGTAGACCTGTTGCTCGAACAGGTTGATATAGTGGGCGGTAGGGTAGACTTGGATCAGATCGGTCAGGAGGTTGGATGAATGGATGTTAGGTGGCAGGAGTAGTCGGTATAGAAGGGCACTTTTGGCTTGTGTCAGGACGGTAGACGACTCGGAACAGGTTGGTAGGTAGACCTGTTGCTTTTTGGTGGTGGGTAGTCGAGAAGTGCACACTTCATGTTAGGAGACTAGATGACTTGAACTGGTTGGTAGATGATCATTTAACATCTAACCTAACCTAACATCTAACTCAACTAATCTTTTAATAACATCTAGATCTATACCATATAACATCATAAACCAACCATTCAAGCTAATTTCGATCATCATTCAGATCTCTCGGATCAGTTGAATAGATGTTCACGATACGATACGAATATAGTACAATATTTCACCTACTACCAAAAACACTAATTATTCAATCAAAAATAGTTGATATTGATTGAATCAACGATTTATTCGAAATATGTAACAATCAAGTGTTGCAAGGGTTGGGGGAATACATACTTGTGTTGAATCTATTGTGTTCTTGATTATCAATCAAAAAAAAAAATTTGCGATAAGAATTCCGATACGAATAGATTCAGATATAGAAATAGCGGAAAATGAAGCAATTCAAACTCTGGTACCTGCTATATTTATGATCAATTAGTTCTTGTTTTTTCTCTGAGTAAAAAACTGGAAATTGTAATTATTTTCCCACTAAACCGCACTAGTGCGGTAAATTATCCATTACGAAACTAAAATCACTGTCGTAATGTTCCACATTATATTGGTAGTAGGTAAATGCATTTATCGCACTCAAAATGTCAACATCAAAATGATTCACTCAGAAAATTGTATGAGTCTTTTTTTTTCAATGATCTAACTCAAAGTCGTCTCAATTTGAAGTTCCAGTCCGCTTTAATAGAATTGGTAGGAGAGTTAATATAAAATGTTGAACAATTTTCGAATTTCCAAGTTTAAAAACTATGTTCTTGAAATCCTTGCAAACGATTACTGACCTAATCATTTAGCTGTCATGCTGTATACCTACAACGTTCTCATTCTGAAAATACCATTCCCTCATTTTTTCAACATTTGAATGAACCTTGATAATTCCCAAACAAATTCCTTGTCTGATATTCACATATAATGATTATGAATCGATTCGGAGAATAATAACTCGAAATCATGGGGTGAGAATGAATCTTTTCGCTCCCCAGTCTATCAAGGAAAAATCCAATTATTCTAATTACTGCCATTGTACATCTCGATGAAAATTCCCGATGGAATTCGCAATTTGAGACCGTCCATTGTTTGAAATCTCCATTCTTCGCGATCCGAAAAATGCGAAGAGATAAGTTGAGGGTTTAATGGTAATGGTACAATTGAATCAGGTGCGTATACTATTGAGGAAAACCTTCATTACAAACACGTCGGTATTTACGAACCAGATCCAAAGAACATCATACCAAACCAATGGTTGGTTGCACGAAATGATATCGAGAAATCTACTGAACTTGCTGTATTTTAGGCTATATTTGTCCATCATACGTTATTATTTGTCTTATATATGTCCTATTTTGTTTCAACCCAGTGTTACAACTAGCTGTTTTGTCTCTGTGTTGTCTAAACTGTACTCCAAACGTTTGTTTAGTCTTAGTGCTGTTTTTAAATAATATCTTGCTGTTTCATCATGCTCCCCCTAGTGCTGTTTTATGTACTCCCAGGTCTCAGCACTATTTTAACATGATCGGTTCTATTATAGCGCCTTACTTTCCCATGCTCTTGTTTGATAGCGCTATTTTTTAATATTAGCGTCATTCTTTCATCGCCGTGCTATTCTATACGCCCCATTCTGTCCAGGACTTTTGGCTGAACATTATTTAGTGTACCACATTTTGTCTAGGAGGCTGTGTTGAAACGCTGTTTGGTATCGACGCTGTTGGATGCCCCACATTTGGTCCAGGGCATTTGGTCTATGCTGTCGAAGGCACTGTTTGATCCAAGAACTGTTAAATGGATAAAATTTTCACCTCAGCTCTGTTTCATATACCCTTTTCTTTATCTAGGACGATGTTTCAAAGCACTGTTTAGTTTCAGCGCATTAATGCCCACAATAATTTTGTCCAGAGCATTGTTTCAATACGCTGTTTGGTCTAAGTGATGGTTTGTACTTACACTTTCATCTCAGCGCCACGTTAAACGCCTCATTTCTGCTAAGTCACTGTTTCAACGCGCTGTTTGTCCCACCCTACAGCGCTGTTTGACCTTGCAGAGCTGTTTGGCTCCACAACGCCGTTGGGACTCATAGAGCTGTTTGGCCTCTAAACTAAAATGTTGTTGTTTCTTTTGTCTTCTCAGGGCCTGACGCTGTTCCTGTCGTTCGCCATCTTGGCGGTGGTGCTCTGACGAAGGAGCTATTCGATCCGAGAAATGTTTAATGGTTACAATATTAACCTCATCTTCGCTTTATGTACTCTATTTTATCTAGGACGTTATTTCAAAGCACTTTTCAGTTTCAGCACTGTTCAATGCCCACAATAATTTTGTCCCGAGCATTTTTTCAACACAACGCTTTGTGGCCTCACAACGATGTTTGATTACAAAACTCTGATTGACCCTACAGCTCTGTTAGGCTCCACAGCGCTGTTTGAATCTACTGCTCTGTTTGGCCCCACAGCACTGTTTTGCTATACAATGATGTTTGATTTCATAGGTTTATTTGACCCTACAGCGCTGTTTGGTCCCACAGCGCTGTTTGGCCATGCAACGATGTTTGATTCCATAGCTTTGTTTGACCCTACAGCGCTGTTTGGCCCCACAGCGCTATTTGGTCCCACAGCGCTGGTTGCCCCTGTACTGAAATGTTTTTTTGTTTTCTCAGGGCCTGACGCTGTTCCTGTCGTACGCCATCTTGGCGGCGGTGCTCGGCATGTTCCAGTTCGGCTTCAACACGGGAGTCATCAATGCCCCGCAGCGCAACATAGAGTCCTTCATGAAGGACCTGTACAAGCAGCGCTACGGGGAGGACCTGAGCACCGACGGCGTCGAGGCGCTCTACAGCGTCGCCGTGTCGATTTTCGCCATCGGGGGGATGCTAGGGGGGTTCGGGGGCGGCATGGTGGCGAACAAGTTCGGCAGGTATGGACTTTTGTTTTATTAAAAAACGGGGAGCTTGGACTTGTTGCAGGAGGATATTGAAAATAGTTGTTATTGATTTTATTTGTATTTTTCAACTCGTTATCACAAGACGGAAGTATGTCCGGGTATGGACTTTTGTTTTATTAAAAGACTGGGAGCTTGGACTCGTTGCAGAAGAATATTGAGAATGGTTTTTCTTGATTTTATTGGTTTTTTACAACTCATTATCACAAGACGGAAGTATATCCGGGTATGGACTTTTGTTTTATTAAAAGACTGGAAGCTCGGAGTCGGTGCAGGAGGATATTGAAAATAGTTTTTATTGATTTTATTTGTATTTTTACTACTAAAAAAGTAATAGGAAAAATGCAATTGATAGTCAGTGAAACCTTGTTTTGAAAAATGTTTGATGAAGAGGTACACAAGTATATTGAAATAATGAATTTTTTTCTTAGCTTATTTTGACGTTTTAATTATCCATTTCCATATTGAAAAACGATCAGATATAGGCAGTATTCCCGTTCGAATTATTTTAAACTTTGTCACGTTTAGGCATGTCCAATACATTGGGATATCGTATCAATCTGATTCATCTATAACCGTAATTTGTGGTGTTCGCGTAAGTAGACGACCCTGTGCATCGTTCCGGGTTGTTGGCCCAGCAAAACCGTCCTTTCCGCATCCCCATATCACAGATATGTACAGAGTGACCCATTTGAAATCGGACCACCATCATAACTTTTTTATTTATTGAGCGGTTTTCACGATTTTTTTTAAATGTAGGGGGGAAAGGTGTATCTTGGAGCTAGGCGGCGTCCACTTTTTTGAAAAAACAAGGCCTACTAGATCACATTCAGAGGCTGAAAAATCCAGAATCCGTATTAGCGATGTTTTTGTAGAAAAAATCTGCGTACACCACTTGAATCGGTATCCTCTGAAATATACAGGGTGTATCTAAATACCACCGACCACAGGGTATCAATATATTGCCTTCCGTACGAATATAATGATCTGAATTCTGTAAAGTATACTGTGGTCAGGTCTCTTTGCGGATCTTCTGTTCGGTCCGTATTTACTGGATGGTTTTCTCCGATTTAGTGGCAAGTATCAAAAACTGCAACTAAACATCACTTATTAGTCGAAGTACATTCGTCTCAGAAAATTCATATCATCAGATGAAGTACATGGATGTTGAATCTGAGACATACCTGAATGATATTTTGATCGTCCGTAACTGGATTGCTACATATCCGCTTCCTTTCCGAATAGTGGTTGTTCCAACTACGTGGGTTATATAAAGGACCTTGCATGCCAAATAATGTGCTGCTCTGATCTAAAACTAAGTATCAATTTCAAATTCGAATCGTTTTCAACATTCGTAACTGGAACGCGATATATTTTTGTAATTCATCAACTATCTCAATGAAGACGAGGCAGGCAGATAAACAACAATTTTCTCTGCAATGAAGAACACTGTATATACCTAACCCACCATGCGTCTACCTCCTTTGCAGAGAGGGTTTATAAACGCCGAGTTGATACTCTCCCCTCGTAAGGGTACCTGTCGTGTTTCCATAGAGACATAAAGCTGAATATCTGTCTATCTGTCTGCTTGAGATTCTGGAAAGTTAATTAATATATCGCCTTCCGTACGAATATAATGATCTGAATTCTGTAAAGTATACTCTGGTCAGTTCTCTTTGCGGATCTTCTGTTCGGTCCGTATTTACTGGATGGTTTTCTCTGATTGAGAGGTAAGTATCAAACACTGCTTTTCGGATCTGCAACTAAACATCACATTCAAATCGAAGTACATCTAAATCAGAAAATATCATTAAAGAAAATACATAGATGTTGAATCTGAGACATACCTGAATAATATGTTCAACGTCCGTAACTAGATTGCTACATATCCGCTTTCTTCCCGTATAGCGGTTTTTCCAGTAGGCATCTTCCACATGTTCAATTACGTCGGTAATATCAAGGACCTTGAAGGCCAAACAATGTGCTGCTCAGATCTAAAACTAAGTATCAATTTCAAATCGGGATCGTGAGACCTTCATAGAACATGAATCTATGAAAAGTCTGGATATTGTTTTCAACATTCATAACTGGAACGCGATATATTTTTGTAATTCATCAACTATCTCAATGAAGACGAGGCAGGCAGATAAACAACAATTTTCTCTGCAATGAAGAACACTGTATATACCTAACCCACCATGCGTCTACCTCCTTTGCAGAGAGGGTTTATAAACGCCGAGTTGATACTCTCCCCTCGTAAGGGTACCTGTCGTGTTTCCATAGAGACATAAAGCTGAATATCTGTCTATCTGTCTGCTTGAGAATCTGGAAAGTTAATTAATATATCGCCTTCCGTACGAATATAATGATCTGAATTCTGTAGAGTATACTCTGGTCAGTTCTCTTTGCGGATCTTTTGTTCGGTCCGTATTTACTGGATGGTTTTCTCCGATTTAGTGGCAAGTATCAAACACTGCTTTTCGGATCTGCAACTAAACATCACATTCAAATCGAAATACATTTAAATCAGAAAATATCATCAGAGGAAATACATAGATGTTGAATCTGAGACATACCTGTATAATATTTTCAACGTCCGTAACTAGATTGCTACATATCCGCTTTCTTTCCGAATAGTATGGTTATTCCAGTAGGCATCTTCCACATTCCCAACTACGAGGGTTACATTAAGGACCCTTGCATGCCAAACAATGTGCTGTTCGGATCTAAAACTGAGGATCAATTTCAAATTCGAATCATTTTCAACATTCGTAACTGAAACGCGATATATTTTTGTAATTCATTAACTATCTCAATGAAGACGAGGCAGGCAGATAAACAACAATTTTCTCTGCAATGAAGAACACTGTATATACCTAACCCACCATGCGTCTACCTCCTTTGCAGAGAGGGTTTATAAACGCCGAGTTGATACTCTCCCCTCGTAAGGGTACCTGTCGTTTTTCCATAGAGACATGAAGCTGAATATCTGTCTATCTGTCTGCTTGAGAATCTGGAAAGTTAATTAATATATCGCCTTCCGTACGAATATAATGATCTGAATTCTGTAAAGTATACTCTGGTCAGTTCTCTTTGCGGATCTTCTGTTCGGTCCGTATTTACTGGATGGTTTTCTCCGATTGAGTGGCAAGTATCAAACACTGCTTTTCGGATCTGCAACTAAACATCACATTCAAATCGAAGTACATTTAAATCAGAAAATATCATTAAAGAAAATACATAGATGTTGAATCTGAGACATACCTGAATAATATGTTCAACGTCCGTAACTAGATTGCTACATATCCGCTTTCTTCCCGTATAGTGGTTTTTTCAGTAGGCATCTTTCACATGTTCAATTACGTCGGTAATATCAAGGACCTTGAAGGCCAAATAATGTGATACTCAGATCTAAAACTAAGTATCAATTTCAAATCGGGATCGTGAGACCTTCATAGAACATGAATCTATGAAAAGTCTGGATATTGTTTTCAACATTCATAACTGGAACGCGATATATTTTTGTAATTCATCAACTATCTCAATGAAGACGAGGCAGGCAGATAAACAACAATTTTCTCTGCAATGAAGAACACTGTATATACCTAACCCACCATGCGTCTACCTCCTTTGCAGAGAGGGTTTATAAACGCCGAGTTGATACTCTCCCCTCGTAAGGGTACCTGTCGTGTTTCCATAGAGACATAAAGCTGAATATCTGTCTATCTGTCTGCTTGAGATTCTGGAAAGTTAATTAATATATCGCCTTCCGTACGAATATAATGATCTGAATTCTGTAAAGTATACTCTGGTCAGTTCTCTTTGCGGATCTTCTGTTCGGTCCGTATTTACTGGATGGTTTTCTCTGATTGAGAGGTAAGTATCAAACACTGCTTTTCGGATCTGCAACTAAACATCACATTCAAATCGAAGTACATCTAAATCAGAAAATATCATTAAAGAAAATACATAGATGTTGAATCTGAGACATACCTGAATAATATGTTCAACGTCCGTAACTAGATTGCTACATATCCGCTTTCTTCCCGTATAGCGGTTTTTCCAGTAGGCATCTTCCACATGTTCAATTACGTCGGTAATATCAAGGACCTTGAAGGCCAAACAATGTGCTGCTCAGATCTAAAACTAAGTATCAATTTCGAATCGGGATCGTGAGACCTTCATAGAACATGAATCTATGAAAAGTCTGGATATTGTTTTCAACATTCATAACTGGAACGCGATATATTTTTGTAATTCATCAACTATCTCAATGAAGACGAGGCAGGCAGATAAACAACAATTTTCTCTGCAATGAAGAACACTGTATATACCTAACCCACCATGCGTCTACCTCCTTTGCAGAGAGGGTTTATAAACGCCGAGTTGATACTCTCCCCTCGTAAGGGTACCTGTCGTGTTTCCATAGAGACATAAAGCTGAATATCTGTCTATCTGTCTGCTTGAGAATCTGGAAAGTTAATTAATATATCGCCTTCCGTACGAATATAATGATCTGAATTCTGTAGAGTATACTCTGGTCAGTTCTCTTTGCGGATCTTTTGTTCGGTCCGTATTTACTGGATGGTTTTCTCCGATTTAGTGGCAAGTATCAAACACTGCTTTTCGGATCTGCAACTAAACATCACATTCAAATCGAAATACATTTAAATCAGAAAATATCATCAGAGGAAATACATAGATGTTGAATCTGAGACATACCTGTATAATATTTTCAACGTCCGTAACTAGATTGCTACATATCCGCTTTCTTTCCGAATAGTATGGTTATTCCAGTAGGCATCTTCCACATTCCCAACTACGAGGGTTACATTAAGGACCCTTGCATGCCAAACAATGTGCTGTTCGGATCTAAAACTGAGGATCAATTTCAAATTCGAATCATTTTCAACATTCGTAACTGAAACGCGATATATTTTTGTAATTCATTAACTATCTCAATGAAGACGAGGCAG